TCTTATCTGTTGGAACAACCACAAAACTATGCTACATAGAGAACGAGTTTATAAAAACGGACCCTAAGTGGGTCTAGCTGAGAACCACTGGCCTCACATCACCCCCCCCCCTTCTTTTCCTTCCATCTCACAGGCGGAGATGTCTCCTTTTAAAGAATGTAGCCCCTGCCCTACATTCTCCTCAAGACCATAAACAAGGTAGTATCTTATCTGTTGGAACAACCACAAAACTATGCTAGAATTTTTACCTGAATTATCCCTCCAGTTATAATATTCTCTCTCTGTCCCTTGACAATCAAATTCATCAACCATCATGTGAGTATTCATTTACTCATCTCTGAGTCACCACCACTTATCAATCAAGCTTTTCTTTCCATCAGTAAACTATACATACAAAGACCACGCCAGGTTTCCAAATTGCCCAAGTGAGTAAACACTCCTCCGATCTCATCTAACTCATCTTTCTGCAATGGACACTGGTGGCTGGAGTCTCCATTCCCCCACTATGTTCTTGAACTCATTTCTCTCCTGTGTGACTATGGCAAAGCAGCCCCGCCCAAGCTGATCTTGTTTAGTCTGAGTCTGTGAGAGCGTGGCATTCCCCTGGCAGTCCGTATCTGGTCAGAGGCAGACACCTGACAACAATTTGTCCAACTGGACAAAGGAAGGATATCATCCAAGCATGGGCATTTGGTCCTCATTCCCTTGCTTCAGTAAGTGCAAAAGCATGTTACTGGCAGTTATCTTGTGACTGCCAGACGGGGAACCTGTCTTATAATGGAAAACCAGAAAGACAGATCAAGCCCTTGATGACATCATTGGTCCACCACTCTGCCTCTGGAGTGTTGTGAGTGAATTTTCCTTACTGTTAAAGTAACTGGGTTTTCCCAATTGAAAGTATCATAACGTAGCCTGTCCTCCTTGAAACTTTCCACTCTTGATTTGACTCCACTTTTTTGTGCTCCTATTTCTACTTATCAAACGTTGTTTCTTTTGCCTCTGGCCTCCCTCCTCTCTTCTTCTGCTTACTCCTACTATTCTGGTGATCTCTTCGGTCCCTTGTGATCTTCTCTACACAAACTAGATGTTTGAAAAACTGCAGTCCACTGTTATCTTTCCCTTGAGCCAGCAGAACTGAGTTCCTGGCACATCCCCTGACGAAGTACTGTCGCTGATGTTGCCCAGCTCATCCACTGAAGAGTTATGATCTGTCTTTCAAACTAAATGCAAAGGTCTCCTCTGTGAAGCCTCCCCGAAAGTCCCCCGGGGTTCCTTGCCATCTATGTGCCAGGGACATCTTTGGCAGGCTGGTGAACCTTAATGATCCCTTCTCAAAATAATGCTTCCACAGGCACAAAATATCAATTAGATTGCCAGAGTTACAGAAATACTTTTAAAAGACATTATCTTCCATAGTAATATGTGATACCTTATTCATTAAACATAAAGCAGTCTTATAACTACTAATTTCAGGTAGTGGTGACCATAAATGTGCGTGGGGCCTGCAACAGGGATGTGATATGAAAATGTCTGCGACTTGCATTGGTTCTGTCACTTTTATAGGTGACAGGTACTGCTAATACCATTGTGGTTCACTCCCAATGAAACCCACCTCCTGTGGTCCCCTACCATATAGATTCTGACCTTGGCCATGTGACTTGTTTTGTGTCAGCAAACACGACACAAGCAGATCAGTGTTGACCTACTGGGACTTGCCCTCTTGGAACTCAGTAGCCATATGAGGAAGACCAAGCTGAGCCTCCCAAGGCACAGGTGTAAGGCCAGCCACAGGATGAAGTCAGTTGCTAGGGAATGCCAACAGAGCTACCCAGACAACCCACAGAAGGTAAGAAATAGTAAAGCTTTGTTTTTAAGGCCCTGGTGTGCTGCTGTTATCTAGCAATAGATAACTGAAACTATTTCCTACATTCATAAAGGAAGAAAAAGCTCAATTTCAATTGGAGATAGGTGAAATAATCTTTTTTTCTCATCAGAATTCAGAAAGCCCCTGAATTCTACCTGCAGATCCTTTGAGGGGTTGAAGATCACGGGTTAAAGACCCCTTGGCTGGGCAGGGCAGATCCCGCTCTCCTCCTTACTGCCACAGTACACTGTCCACACCCATATCACAGCTTATCCTAATCCTGAGCTAAACTACTTGCTCATAATACGTGTTACCAAATGAACCCAAGTTGCAGGTAGGAACTGTCCTACTGAGAAACTACACGCTACTGAAAAGGAAAGCAAATACTTAGGTGGTATGTCTATGTGCCATGGCCTCATCCAACTGCTTTACACATAATAGTATATTCATTCATTTTAACAGCCCTGTGAGGCAGATGCTATTCCCCCAATTCCCAAAACAGGAAAACAGCTAGAGATTAAGTGACTTGCCCAAGGTGACACAGCTAGAAAGTAGTAATGCCAGGACGGAAGATAGAATCTATGTTAGGATTTTATAGCCCATACTAATGTACCCAACGCACACAGCAGGTCTCAATGAAAACTGCCAATTATACTACGCATAGTGCAAGTTTGAGATTTCCTTAATACAATGAGTGCCAGGCTTCTTGAAACTCAACTGAGTAGACTACTGGTAGCTTATGTTTTTCATGACAGAAAAATGCCGATTTGGGACACAAAGTCTTCACTACTAAGTCGGTTTCTTTCAAAGGACTCAAGTTCATGACGTGTATGGGGATAGAGGCTTGTTCTGAGTCGTGTTCACTGGGCAGGGGAGCAAAGCTCGAATGTCCCCCTGCTCTCCCAGCCATTCCAGGTCAGCCTACCCGCCCCCCAGTAGCTTCTCCGGAGGTGACCCTCCCTCACCCACACACCAGGTTCCGAAACCCGACCCAGTCGGCCTGCCACAACCGAGCCCGCAGTGACTGGACTCATCTCACCCACGAACCCAAGAGGGCACTGGGGGGTTGGGGGGTGAGGCGGATGGCTACTTGGGGGTCCTTTAACTTTTCAAAATGTTTCATTCACCAGACAACGACACAAAAGCCCCACCCACCTACCCCGGGGGTCACGCCTCCGCCCGGATGCCGCTCGCTCAGAGCGGACGGGTGAATGAACCGCGGGACCAAGAGGCGCCCGGCCCGGAGGCGGGAAAAGTCCCGCGGTGATCCGGGCCGGGTCCCCAGACATGCCCACGGGACCGCGGGTAAGGCTCCGGGTGGCCGGGAGGGGGTGGTGACAGCTGTGACCCGGCTCCACGCTCTCACCTTGAACATGTCGCTGGCAGCGGCGGCTCCGGCGGGGTCACCCCGGCCTTGGCCCCGCCCACTACGAAAAGGCGGCTACGGCGGCCCGGTAGGGCCTTGATTCCTCACACCGCTAAGAGGACCGCGGTGCGGAAGACGACGTTATAGTCAATTCGAGCCCGCGAAGTCTTAATTCGGGAAATTGGGCTGGACGCGGCGTGGCAGAGCCGCAGGGCG